GTCACAGGTGATTGTAACTAGTGACGTGAAATAACGCTCACGTCTAATTAAAAGTGACACTGACATTGACATACCAGAAAACAGATGTAATGAAATAAAACAATGCAAGGTATCAATATTCAATATAACTTTGTTAAAGCTGTAAAAGTTGAACAACAGGCGAAATATTAAATTCATTAATAAGTACTTCTTTGTAATAAATATAAGAGTTTCATAGCGTAGGTTTTAATTTTTTTACTAGTTGTTTATCATATATTTAAGAAAAACGCAAGTAAGGACCTTTCTTAAACTCTTTCAAATTGTCATTGTGAATTTAAATAAATGGCTGATGAAAAACCAAGCGATGATGTTCCCCAAAGTGAACTATCTAGCGGGGTAGAAAACCTTAAAATTGAAAATGGACAAAAAGAAAATGGTGACACTAAAACAGATAAAGTTAAAGGTAAACAGTTTTCTACTACTATTACAAAACTAAATAAAAACATCTCAATTTGGTTTTGCAAAATTACTGAGTCATTCTCAAAGCCTTGTGGCAATAGCAAATTGTAAAATCATTAATAATTTTTATTCCAGTTGACATTTTATTGAAGGCAACAGGAGATGCCCCAATTATGAAGAAAAAGAAATGGGCCGTAGATGCTGAGAAGCCTATAGGATGGATTATAGAATTTGTTAAGAAATACCTTAAATTGGAGCCTGATGAGAAACTGGTAAAGAATCATATAATATATTTATATTATAAACATGAAAGATTGGATGGATATTTGTTAGTTTCTTACTGCATATCTCTAAAATGGCCTAACAGATCTCTAATACAAAAAGATGCTTTTAACATCATGGTTAATATATCATCACCAGCTCACTATACGTCCCCACCGAGGGGCTCGGAGCCTACCCTAAGTAAGGGTGACTAGGCCATAATATATATTGTGCTATAACTCAATGATATTTAGTTGGTTAATTGTTCCTTGTTTGTATTTCAGTTTTTATATGTGAATCAAACATTTGCACCGTCACCGGACCAGATAATCAAGAATCTTTATGAATGTTTTGGGACAGATGGTAAATTAGTGCTCCATTACTGCAAAAGTCAAGCTTGGGGTTGACATTAACAAATTTTCACATTGGTTCTGTTTTAATGTTGCCTGTTCTTAAGTTATAAGAAACATTATGAAACATGTAATTTTGTATTTTATAACATAAAATAACCAAAAACATATGAGAGTGAATCCAAAGAAATTTATATTTTTTGTACTTAGACAATCATTTTTAAAAGTCTGTCTTAGCATTAATTGAAATGGTTTTAAACTTAGCTTGTACTGTACATTTATCAAATAAATTAGCATATATCTTTTTCCAAATATAATCAATACGAGGACAGTTCAAAATTAATATATGTATTTATTGCATTTAAATAAAAGTTTGCTCTATTCAAAATTTGATTAATTTGACATTTCTAAAAACTCTTAGAGCCTCGCAGATTAGACATTTTATCTGCCGGTAGTTTGGATCTGGCTGTCAAACTATCAAATGAAACAGACAGATAAGAAGTCATTTTGCAGGAGTCATTTTCTTATAAAATATTTAATTTATAAGAGGGTTATAATTTCACCAAACATTGTTAAACTTTTCCGTTGCAATGTAAGACAAAAAATTAATCTATTCTAGTTTGTGTTTGTAGATGAAGTGATTCGAAATAAAATATTAAAATGAAATATAATAAATTTATTACGAAAATATAAATGTATTTGTTACAATACTAGATTTAAATTCACTTTCTGTCTCCGCTGCCACTGATGTAGTCCTTACTAGTGGTCCGCGTGGGGAGATCTGAAATTAGAAAAAAATAAAATTCACAACTCATATAAATGTAATTTTCAGTAAATAAATTATTGTTCAACTTAAGAAGATAACAACTTTTAAGTTTATTTAAATTAAGTCTATATCTACAAAGATATTAAAAAGATATATAGAGGAATCATAGTTGACACTTCACTTGAGACATTTTTTACATAATCATCACCATATTTTTTGTTTTAATTTGTAAACTCTTATTAGTTTATTTTATAACAAAAGATGAAGTTTATAATAATTTTGTAAAATATTTCCAACATATACAAGGACAAAATATGGCACTAAAGTTGACAACTAACATATCTTTGAAAGAAGTTACCGGTAAAAAAATTTGCTCCCTGTCCAGTCTATATATTTATTCAATGTCTTTGTATATTTACGAACTCTAGGTATTACTAAAAACACCAAATATTCATATTGTACTGAATATTAAACCCCGGTAAATAAACATTAATTTCATATTTGACCTTACTAGATATTTTTTTACAAATATTAAACAGAGAATAAATAATTTCAGTACTTGCATTCTAGTCGTGGTTACCTGGCGGTCTGCAACATTTCCTTGTTTCAGTCTTAACTGGTGACGTCACTTTAGAGCCCTGCGGCTGCGTGACGTCACAGGGGCAGCACGAGTGCACGCTACTGCGGGATGTATTCATCGCTTCTATTTTTTCATCCTTAATAAAACAAATAATTACATTCCATACTTAAAGATTTTTTATTGCGATACTTATAAAGTTTGCTGTTTTTAAAGGAAAATAAAGACATTTATATCTATACTAATATTACGAAGAAAGAGTTGTATTTTTGGATTTCTGTATGAATTTGATTCACGCAAAAACTAGGCCGGTTTAAAAATCACCAATAGAAAGGTTATTGTGTGAGTAACATCGTCTATATTATATTTTACTTTTTTATTATTTTTTTATTAATTTCACGCGGGCGAAATCATCTATACTAAAATTATAAAGAGAAATCATTTGTAATTTCATTTGCATTGAAATAATTCAAAACTACTGGACGTATTTAAAAAAATGTTGCACCATAAAAAAGATAGGTAACTAAGTAACATTGGCTACTTTATACTTTTTTACTTCCACGCTGACGAATTCGCAAACATCAGCTAGCCACGGAAAAAGAGGACAGATGGGACATACTTTAACATAAATTGTATCGATATCCGGCTTGAAGGACCATTAACCAAACGCAGTAAAAAAGCAATTAAAAACCGTACAAGTTTCTAACCTTGGAAGGTGCAGCAGGAACCTTGAATTGTCGTTCTGTCGAAGGTTTCTTAGTAGTTTTGTCTTCGAGCGGCAGACGCAGTTGTTGTTGGAGAGTTTTTGGGGATTGTACTGTTTTCTGTGTAGCTGATGGTGGTTTCTGTTTTGGTAGGTATTGCTGAAAATATACAATTTAGTATACATTAATATTGTGATATTTAAAAGTTAACACATACATTTTTATTAAAGATATTAAAAACGGTCTATTAAAGTACAGTCGTGGAATCTGGCGGTGTTACCGAAAAAGCTACAATTGTTTGTACGCGACCAATAGAAAACAGTTTTGAAATGTCTGAACGAAAAACAATTCTTAGTGATATATGGTCGATTGCTTTTCACTTAACTTACTACTATCGAATTCGTTATTTAAGACGAGGCGATGATTGTTTCATCGCAAGTAACAAGGCAGAGAGCAAGTAACGAGTAGAGCGACGGTGGCTCAGGGGTAAGTACTTGACTTGTAACCTACAATTTGAATCCTGCTGTAGCAATGTGATTTTTGATTATAGAATTTTAGATGTACATAATTTAGCCGACATTCTTACGTTGAAGAAAAACATCGTGATATCGGTGATACTAGTGTCCGTTAGGGTACGTTCCAAGCTCAGTGGGAATGTAGTGAGCTGGTGATGTACAAGGCGATATAGAGCCAGTGACCCAGTGAGCCAGTGAGCCAGTGCGTACTTGCGGCACGTGCCAGATGACGAGGCCGCCGGCGGCGCAGGCGCTGACGACGTGGCGCGCGTCGGGGCTGAAGCGGCAGCAGGTGACGGCGGCCGCGTGCCCCACGCCCATGTGCGAGTATATGCCCTCCTGGTACTTCCACAGCTGCACAACCGACTCATTACTACTCAAATACAACATTAAGCAACCTTTGACTAAACTATCGCACAACTGTTTACTCACTATACGCTACTTGATTTTTAGTTGTACAGCTAAACAGTTGAATTGGTTGCGAAACAATACAATTGTGCTATAATTTAGTCAAACGTTTGCGCCCACTCTAAGAGTACAACGCGACATGCAATCTCATTTAAATGTATTTGTCTCGCTGTAATGACAAGAGAAACGCACGTACTTTGACCATTTGGTCGTTGCCGCCAGTCACAAAGAGCTCCCCGTCCTGTGTGATGTGGAGGCCGTTGATAGCTCCCACTTTACTGGCTTCTAGCTGTTGGACAGTTAACATATACTATGGCTATATGATATATGTGGTTTATGCCTATTTGATTTTGCCATCTTGGCGTTGACGGTCGGGAGGGGGCGGTGATGAGAATTGGAACTAATAAAAGATATAGAATTAACCGGCTTTAACATCAAGAGGCGTGTTAAAGTCGTAGATTGATGTGGTGTAGGAGGTTACCTCCCTGGCGAGGTTGCCGCTGGCCGTCTCCCAGTAGGCCACGCGGCGGTCGGTGCCGCCCGTCAGCAGCTGGCAGCCGCGCGGCTCGTAGCACACGCACATGAACAGCGTGTTGGCGTACATCACCTGCCGCCGCGACAGCGACCTGCCGCACCTCGCGCTTAGCCCTATCTGCTCTCATCTCCTACACTGGCGGTGACTACAATGGTCTGGCTCGCCCGGTTAAATACCACAGACAGACCACCAGTGGGAGCAAATCCACGTACACTGTGATGAGTGTGGTGTCGGAGGCCCAATTTGTAATCCATTTTCTTTCCCACCCTCTTGGATGAAAAATGGATTACGGTAGAAAGACGCATAGTAAAGTGAAATATTCTATTTATATGCGTCTCCTCCTCCGTCGAGTGCAAACGACCGGATAATAAAAACTTAGCGTTGTAGTCACAAACTGTTTTTAAGACATTTATAAGCTGCGTTAAATTGCTTTTGTTCCACGTTTCGTTTCAAAACATTAAAATGTAGCTTTTAAAGGTAGAACACCGCCAGTTTACCCGACTGTACATATGAAATTCGAAAATAACATTATTACGACGAAAGTTGTACCTAGGACCTGTGGATTACAAGCCGAGTACTCTAACACTTGAGCCACCTCTTATATTTGGTAAAAAAAATGAATCCCATAGATTACATGAGATCCCATATGATGGCGGAGCCGTCGGTCCCCGCGCTGACAGCCTCCGTGTCGTTGGGGGACACCTGTATCGCGGACACGGGGCTCTTGTGCTCCTTCAGCACCTTCTTGAGCGACTGGCTCTCCGGCCGGATGTCCCACACCCGCACCTACGTACGTCTTCAGTTTCACTCAAAGATATTAAAAAAATATATAGATAAGGCATAGTTGACACTAAAGTGGACAACTAACATAGTACGTTTCCAAGAAGTTATCAGTGAAAAATGAGGAAACCATTTTGGTATAGTTTAGGCTACAAACTCTATTACACAAATGGATGCTTGAGAGTTTGTAGCGTAAATAGCTTAACAGATTTCGATGAAATTTGGTACAAATGTATAGCCTGGAAGATCACATAGGCACTTTTGTTTTTTAATTCCACGCGAAAGGAGTCGCGGGCGAAAGCAAGTCTATTCATAAACTTTCGCATTTATATTAGTAAGAGGTCACCTGTCCCTCGCAGCCCCCGGAGATGAGGGTGCGTCCGTCGGAGGTCATGTCGATGGCGGAGGTGCCCTTGTTGTGCGTGTTGAGGATGCAGTACATCAGCCGCCCCGTCAGCGGCGTGAACGCGCGGATGTTGCCATCATTCCACGCTGCACAAGGTACACTCTCACACGACCGGTAACTTACAATCTATACATATAATAAATAATTTGAAAAAATCGTCAAAAAGGAAAGGGCCAAAAACTAAAGGCTGATATCAAGGAAGTAAGGTCGCCATGGTAACCGGAATTGTTATCAAATGACAATGACCTTCGTTGTCATTTGTACTTTTGAATTTTGAACATTTTTAATTGAACCTTTCTTTAAAAAATCGCACTTTGATCCATAAATGTTCGCCACCCCTGATGTGACTCACCAGAAACGATAGACTTGCCGTCACCGGAGAAGAGAACAGCAGAGCAGGAGAAGTTGGGCAGCGCGATGCGCAGCAGCTCGCGCGCCGTCTGCAGGCACCACACGCGCACGCTGCCCGCGCCTGCCGTCGCGAACACGCCTGACATGCCCCTACAGACACGATAGACACTAAATATGACACAGGCACTACACACCACGCGGGAGACACTCACCGAGAGCATTATACTATGACGACATGATCGGATCTAGCCGACAAATAGAGGCACTTACACCGACATAAGCACTACGCAACACGGTGGAGACACTCGAGCGCAGTATGCTGCATCAATATGACAGAATGTTATCGTTAAAATGGTGGTAATATTTTAACACTAGCTTTCGTTCGTGTTTCCGTCCGCGTAAAAAAACTTGAGTGGTGTATGTGTTCTTCTAAACTATATTCTACATATGTGCCAAACTACAAACTTTAACGATCCATCTAAACTTTGGCATTATAATACAAGTAAGATTAGAGAAAAGCCGCCTTCAAATCTTTTGAAATTTCAACTAAAAATGTCTATGGTCACAATGCAACTGAATTTGAATTGAAATTCAATATACAAATAGGAATCGATGAGGTAAACCTGGGGAAGGCGATATCGTTGATGGCGCAGCGGTGGCAGGTGACGACCAGCGTGAGGGTGAAGGTGGCCATGTCGACGGAGAAGATCTCGCTGGTGCGCGTGCCCAGCAGCAGCAGGCGCCGGCCGCCGCGCCGCTGCGGGGACTCCAGCAGCTCCATGGACGTGATGCAGCCCGGCACCTTCACGCTTCTCAGCTGAATAGTTTAACAATCTACTTCACATATTCACTGGTTCTCTTGTACACAGTTACATCTTAAGGGCCTTTAAGTAAAGAGTGTACTCCTCATTTAAAGGCCTCAGCGCATCTGCAGTTCCCTTGGCGTTGCGGATGTTTACGAGCGTCGGATCAATTAACATCAAGCGATCCGCTGCTCGTTTGCCCGCTTTTCTTATTAAAAAGATGACTATAGGAATAGCACATACTAGCTTTTGCTCGTAACTCCGTACGCGTTAATTAAAAAAAAACAAAAGTGTTGTAGCCTATGTGTTCTTCCAGACTATATCCTACGTCTATGCCAAATTTCATCGAAATCCGTTCAGTCGTTTTTGCTACAAGTTCTAACAAAAATCCATCAAATCATTCCTCTTTATAGTATAGATATAAATACGTACAGCTTTGAAATGCGGCTTGTTGGGTGAGGCGATCTTGGCCTTGGGGAAGTCTCCCTTCCAATTGATCTCGTCCAGCAGGTCCACGCTGCCGTCGCCCGCGCCCACCAGCAGGCAGCCGTCCTCCAGTATTAGTAGCGCTTCTATACCTAGTAGGAAAAACTATTATTTACACTGCCTTCAATTTCACACTATACATTCATACTAATACCACAAATGCGAAATTTTGGATGGATGGATATTTGTTAGAGTTTGTAGCTTAAACGGCAGAACGGATTTCAATGAAATTTGGTATAGATTTAGAGGATAGTCTGGAAGAACACATAGGCTACTCGCTTTTGTTTTTTTTAATTTCACGCGGGGTCGCGGCCGAAAGCATGTTCATAATGAAAAGAAAAAAGGCCTAGGTGTATTATTCACATTAATTTACTAATAAAACTAGCTACTAAAAAAAATATCTACAAGTAAAAGTAAAAAAAAATGCCTATGCTACTCAGCAATAACGTAGCTTTTTAATGGTGCAGGAGTTATTTAACTCAGTCCATTCATTTTTGAATAATTTCAATACATATAGAAATCCAAAAACAAATCTTTTCTCTATATAACGTTAGTAAATATAAGATATCTTCGTCTCAGAAGCATATCTTACCTTGGCTATAGCAAACAGTTTCAGGAGCCTTGTTCTTCCTCAAGACCCCGCACTTAGCGAGGCAGCCGATCAGACTGGGCTTGCAGTTTGCTACCGAAACGTTTGGGTCCGCGGGGAAGTTGATGGAAAATTTTATCATGTCACCCGTCCTAATAGATAAAATATGTAATTTGGTTGGTATCTTAGTGTTAAAGATATGCTTAAGAGAGTGGATTCAGATATGACTAATAGAAATATATGGAAGAACACATTCTATGCCGACCCTTAGGACAAGGGCAAATAAATGATGATGGTTGGTATCTTAAATATTGAAGCAGTTTGTCTTGCCTGTACAGGGATCGTCGTGTACTATACTCACGTAGTACCAGCGTAACCATAGGCGTCATCTTTGCTGACAGCAATGCACCGCACGCTGCGTCTAAGCTTGCCCAACGATACGTCTAACACTTCCAGCGTCTTGCTCTCCGCTCGCACGTTCCATACTCGCAGGTTAGCTAGCACAATCATATTAAATAAAATATGTGTTTTTGTTTTGTGAATGAATGAAAATGTAAAGTATGTTACAATCGCCGCCTGTGACAAAGGCGCTGTGTCTCAGGTTGAGTGGCGCGAGGGTGACGGCGTCCCCTGTGGTGAGCTTGGCGGCGGCCGTGGTGGCGGTGGCGGAGCCCCCCGCACAGTCCCACAGCACCACGCAGCCGTCGTCGCGGCCTCCTAGAGAGATCATGTAGCGCTCGTCGGACGAAAACGTCAGCGCCTCCACACGTACCTGGTCGAATTACTTACGATAGAGGCAGTGCATATACATTTTCTATGTAAAAAGTTGTTTTTTTAAACATTTACATTGTAAGCTCTCTTTAACATTTTACTAGTTTAGTCAAAATCTTATTAGTTAAATGTGATATAAAAATGTCATATTTAACCTTATGCAATTCATGGCTGCCGATCATAACCCTCTTTTTGAAATCCCATATCTTGGCAGAAGCTTTGAAACCGATGTGGTTGATTTGTCCTGAGCCGACGTAAGTTCCCTTAGGGGAGACAGCGACAGTCGACACGCTATTGGTGTGTCCACTAAGGAATTGCATCTTCTTGTTCTTCCACTCCTGGATGCACACTTTGTTGCCCATTGGGTATACGATGTGGTCGCCATCAGGGTGAACTTTAAGTCCCTTAATTGCAGATCCTGGAAGTTATTAACTACATTGTTAACTAGTTGATAGTTTAGTATATTCTCCTTAACTTCCCGTTTTTGTGTTCTGATTTTTAAAAACTTGCATATGAAAAGAAAACACTTAGCGAATATGCAGTCAATAACGGTTATTTGAATGGTGAAACTGCTCTCACCACGGAAACGGGGTAGACGAAACTTTTAAATGTTAATTTATATTTAGAGTTTTACCATCAAATCCTATAATAGCGTAAGGTTCTAAAGTCTTTACGTCCATTATCACTTATTCAGTCTTATGATTTGTATATTACAGTAAAAAAAGCTTTTAAACTATAAACAACCTGATTATTGGAAGTTTTTGTTTGTTGTCAATTTCTGTTATTATTTACAGTTGCTATGCAACAGTAATTCAGTCTTACCAGTTTATTTCAGTGTTGATATCTAAAAGAATATGTTATTTAGCCTGTATGGTTAAATAATTTGCCTAATTCTGTGTAAAAACTCATTTTAATAAATATTTAATCTTGCTTTCAGTAAAATTAACCAGTAAACAGGGGTGAGTTAGTCGTTACTACACACTTACACTAGATCATTAGTATGTACTGTTCTTTTAAAATCTTTTTATCGCAGGAAATAAAAGGCAAAATCAGTCTTATTAAATTTTATTAATAAACAATATTAAACAGATTATCTTAATTAAATTAATCTAGAACATAGAGTAACAATTTCATTTTCTTCCAAAACACTTTTTCTGTACAGCTTTAGCCTTTTCATCAACTTTTTCTTTGGCTACTTCACTCATCCTTTTGATTTCATTTATCATGTATTGCTTAACTACTGATAAAAATTCTGAAAGCTGAAAATATCAAATTATGTTTTCACAAACTACTAACTTCTGCTCATGACTTAGTGGCAGTGACATTAATAGCAAATTTAATCAGGATCTAGGCCGCCATTCTGGAGATAAATCCTAATATGGATTCTTTGCAACTTTCACATTTATAACATTAATAAATATTGAAAACTAGTAGAATTTGCTTGCTATTTAGTTTTGATGGTGTTAAAAATGAGCAAAGGTAAATTACAAAAACGATTAAACAAAAAGCAAAGAGAATATTTCAACATTTTAATTTTTAGGGCTGAATGTTTACACCACCATAATTGAATAGTACTTATATAAAAATTTAAACATACCAGTAGGTCGTTTTCATTTTTTCCAAGTTGTACAAAGGCACATTTGCCAGCATGACTTTTATGCTCTGCCCAAGGATCATCGTCAGCTTCCCAGCCGTCAAGCTCCTTACCACAAAGGAAACATTTAGCCGCATCTACATCATCAGTACCAGTTGCAACTGAGTAAAATCCAGCCTCAGCCATATTACGAACATTACATTTCTTTTTATCGGAAAACGGCCAATTCTTAAAAGTTTTCTCCCTTTCTTCAATTAAAAATAAAGGTCTTACATCCATACTGAACCAATCACTTACACAAAATTGCAAAACAAATCCGTTGGAACTTTTTCAAATCTTCAAATCAAATGAGTTTGACAAATGTCAAATGTTTAAAATGTCAACTCTAGTTTAGGAAACAATATTTTTCAACTTGCAACACTATTTAAAAGTAACCTGAAGTTCTTTCACCTATATGTATAAATGGATAGGCTATTGTTTGTTAATGAAAGCTTTTATTTTAATCAAATTTAATTGTGCTCGTAATTCGCGACAGTTAATTCTATGTCTATTATTGATTCGAAGAACTGGCCTCTATAAATAGACAGGCTGTAAACTATTTTATTTTATATCCATTTGATGTTCGACATTTTGGCGCTGATGGTTGCGGTTGGTCGCATTGAAGAGTTTTCGAAGTAATAGCAATGATAGACTTAACAGTTACTGAAATGAACAGGCACGTTTAAATCAGAACGAAATAAAAGTTGTCAATTCTAAGTTATAGCCTAACTGTTACATACATCTATGGTTTGAATTCTTAACACCGTTCCCAATCTTTACAGCCAGGATCAAAATGGCTAAAGTTAAATAAGCTCAAAAGAATCTTACGGCCTATCCATCTATTTAGGTCAGTGGGTTCCTTGATTTCTTTGCTTTTTGTGATTCCCACAGAGTATACTCTCTGTTGACATGCTGTTTCTGTATCTATGGAGATTTTGAACCAATCATATTCAGACTTCCTTCTTTCTCTTCTCATTGGCCAATCCATGGGACCAATCGGCCAATCGCAATCAAGCACTTGCACACTCGCACTCAAGGACAAGGAAAGTTCGCTCTGAGTTGAATCAGTATCAAAAAGTGTTCACCATTATTGTCGTTCGTCTTCGTTCGTAGTAATAGAATCGAATGAGTGTTTGTGAGATAAAATATTCTTTATTGATCTACATATACGTAGCATATTTAAATAATATACATTTGCCCGAATAATAATTAAGTGATAAATTCAAACGCCGTTCTTCCAAAACGTAAAGAATCGAATCAAGTGCCTGTAACATTTACACGTTTTTGTTTTTATTAACTTAGCTGTTAACTCGTTATTGTCGAATATTTCGTGTTTTTGTGCAGGACTTGCAATGGTCCGAGCTGTTTTCTAGCATTTAACAGTCCGGTACAACTTTTTGGTAAGTACTTTCAAAAATATTTTATTAACAGTATTTATGTAATGTGTTCTTAAATATTTGATATAAAAATAAAACCTTATCCAGTTACTGAGTATAGAAAAGAATTATTTTATATAAGTATAAAAATTCATCCTAAACTTTAAGTTATCAAGGATTTTTTAAGTTCATTTAACTAATACTTGACCTACATTGCTGTCGTCTGAGTGTTATTTTTTTTATTTTTTACTACCTTGTGTGTTTTCCTTTTATATAAATTACTATTAGTTCAAATTTTATACTTATTTGTAATTTTTAATAAATAATGAATATAAGAACATATTCATATAGAATGAATATAGAAAGGCCTTATATGGACAAAATCAATGTGGTTTTTTAGCTACAATCAATATACAATTCGTATAAATTACGGAAAAAAATATATATTTATAACCAAGTACTAGCTTTTATCTGCAACTTCATTTGTGTAAAAATATTATTTTAAAATTTTCTGAATATAGTACATGTCAACCGGGCATAGTGTAGCCTCCTAACGGAGACAGGATTTTTCACATTGGATTAGTGGTTGGAGCCTATTCCATGCAAACAATCAAATCATTGTTAATAAAAATGGAGTAAAGATGAGTATGTATAGATATTGCAGATAAGACTTTATTATGCTATACAAGCAATGGTTACTAGAAAGTTCCATCCATACAATGACATTGTTTAATTAACAACTCCATCGGGGGTGTTATTTTACATACACGGTATGTACACAATGAGTCCAACACATAACATAGTATAAATTCCCATAGCTGCATAGCGGTGTGTCATAGCACACTCTAAGTAGCTTCTGTATTATTACATTAACAAGGATTATTATATATTGCAAGATACAATACTGATTGGTATTGAGCAGTGCAATGAAATGAAGTCTGGGGATATACAAGACTGCAAGCCTGGTATTTATGCCAGCAAAAGTTATGCTTGAATACTAATACCTGGCTTGGAAATAGTTTGCTCAATATTTGACACCTGTGTGCCAGTTGAGACAAGTTCGAGGGGGGCATCACACTAAAATATCTAGTAAAATCTCTTATAAGATCGTGTTGACATTTTAATGGCATTGTGCCGCATGCCAGTTACTCCTTTTACTGACATGTGTATTCCCACCTTAATGTATTGTATACAATGTTTACACATGGCAACATTGAAGCACTTCAATCTTTTTGATACTCTATATGTGAACGAAATAAGTCGTGTCAATTGTTTTCCCTCGTAAATTGAAGTGTGCACAGAGTTTTATTGTTACACAAAGTAGTAAAACGACAAAGATTTGCGTCACAAGGTTACGAAAATCTTTGTGATTTCTCAAACGGAATACAACAGCCTCTTCAATCTATATATAGGCGAGTGGTGCGGCGTCTCAAACGAGCCTCGAGTAACTTAGAACGTTTACTAGACTAGGGATTTTCACGAAACAAGTATTTAAATAGTACTTGTTTTGTGAAACAGTGGTAAAAACAGTGGTAGTGCCCGCTTTAACATCTTCGCATGAATGGGTCGGCTCGCCCGGTGTAATACCACGACCACACAGAAGACAGGCGTGAAGTGGTACCGGGGGCCTAATTTTAGTCCCTTTAACTTTCCACCGTTTTCTTAAGGGGGAAGGATGGGATGGAAAAGTGGATTTGACGGTGAAGGAGACGCATAGGAAGGGTAAATGTCGTCCTTATGTGCGTCTCCTCCTCCGTAAATTAATGGTAGGCAACGCATCAACAATTGCGGATGTTTATGGGCAGCGGTCGCTTTCCATTTCATTGGATTCAGGTGGCCGCTTGCTCGTTTGTCACCTTATATTATAAAAAAAAACGTTTAAATTAGGATAGGTTTCAACAGATGAAGATAAAACAAAAAAATCTACGTACATACTCGTGCTTTTCTCGTATTTCCGTTTAGTCCGCGCTTTCGTCGGTTATTTCTATAGAAAAAAAGAAATAAAAACGCGCCAGATATTAAGTGTAGATAATTCCTGGATTGATAGGCTGCTGACAGGTCGATCGATGCCGTCGCACTGCGCATTTATGTTGCTTTAATACGATTATACAATTTAATGTAAACATAAAAAAAATTAAACAAAATAATGGTGGAACTAAATAAGTCGGTTTGCTTAAATTGTCTAATTGGCTGCCGTGTCGTGCCGTGTCACCAATTGCCCTTAATTATAATTCGTGCGGTAGTCGTTAGAAGGTCAATTTAGTATCTGCATCTCCAAGGTTTGAAGTGTAATTTGTCAGTTAACAACAATGACTTAAGTAGCCAACTTAATATCACAATCAAATACACGCCTATTAATAGCAACATTCATCAATACGTACGTATGGTAGGGTGACCGCCCAGAGCGCCGGGCATAAAAGGGCATAGGCGCATGAAAAAGCGTGACAGGCGCCTTTTTTGTATGGGCTTGTACTGCAGTTAGGGCGCCGGTAATACTAACCCCAGCCCTGGATATGTAGTCTTAGTAAAAACTATATCTTACCACAAATCTCTGTGATGTAGGTCAGTTATTTACAGAATATTTTGGCAGTGTATTGCTGCGTCGTTTAATGCTAACCGGTAAATTATGTAAACATCTACCAGGTTGTTATAATTCGAAATATGTACATACTAGTATTCCATTAAATAAAATATAATATTGCAAAGAGAAAGCAAGACTAGACTCTGCCAGAGTTCCTTAAAGTTGTTTTAAATTCATTGCACGAATTCTTAATTGTAGATTTTACATACTAAGGGGAACTTTAAGACTACGGTAGTAAGTCTTTAAAAAGTACGCTCAGTGGAGAAAACTTGCCGTCGTAACTTTTTGTTTTTAAAGTCAATTCGTAAAGTTACTCAAACTTATGCCAATACAAACTTTACCAGTTAATTAAAATATGACAGTTTTTTGGTTTCTTAGTTAATTGGTTAAGTTTTATGTTTGAGTTTTTGGTGGTTTACTGGTAATTATTTTTTTGGACATGTAATTTAGTAGTTATTGAATTATCTAGCTAGTATAAAGTCTTTGTTTTAATTGGACTATTCAGTCCCAGAGATGGTATTGTACTGTTTACGTAGTTCATATTGTAAATATTTTATACTAATGTAGTTATCAGATTTACATTCAGTATGACAATGGCTTTACATCAGCCTATAAGGCAGTTAACTGGATTACTAGAGAGAGGTAAAGGCAGCGTAGAATTGAGGTCAGCTTTCAGCGCTCGTGGGAAATATTTCACTGTCAAAGTTAAGGAGAAATTATTACTTCCAATGTGTTTCTGTTTTACTTAATATATTGTTTAAATAATATTCTTTTAAGTTATAAGTAAATACTAATTTTGTAAACGTAATTGTGTATGAGTAAATCCTTAAACATTTCCACCTTATTAAACAATGTGATGTAATGAAATTGGTCGTGTCTACGTGTAAGGAGGGAAGTGGAACGGAAAAATTGCCACCCCTTACCCCCATGCGCTTATATACAGCTGCTAGCCTAGGCATTGTATGACGTAAGGGTACCTATTGTGCCCTGAGACTTAAGTTTATTAAATTACATAGAACAAGGCTCATACGAACTTTATATGAGAATTTACATTTCATAGTTATCTAGATAGAAATGTAAATAATGTATCTGTGTGTAATTTAGTATTAAATTCCAGTTAAAGCTAGAATATCGTTAAGTATCATTCAATATTAATCAGTAGAATAGAGCTCTTAGAATTTAATAAATAGATATCCCGCGATCGCGACCTCGGCCTCGCAACACAGTTTCAAGACACGTGCACTCTCGTCGCTGATTATATCAATAATTTTCAAGTACAAGCAAAAATCTCATTAACTTCATTTGCAATGTTCTAAAGGAGGGATGGGGAACATTGATGCAGAAAAGTGCCATTTTTTAAAGAAATTAATGCGGTCAGTCGAGCCATCGAATTATTTTGACTACGATTCCATGCTGCAATTACTTCATAATTTTTTCGTAGTCTTTATGATTATCGACGTGCCCATGGTTCGCCACCCCTGTCCTAAAGCATTTCTTTTCATTGAGTTAAAATACATTTAAACAGTTCTACTTAATGATAGCAAATCTTCATTTCTTATATGTTATCCCAGATGTTTTTATATAAAAATCTTAGCATCAAGGCAGATGTAACGTGCGTGCTAGTAAACAAACAGCGGTTGCGTGGCGTATTAGTATTGTTTGCGGGTTGATCCACTCACGCCACGTGTCTATATCTCGCGTGCTTCTTGCATAACACGTTTCCAGTACATTTGTACTTAAACCAATGTTCTATTGTTGTTACGTGCTCGAAATTCAACCATTATATTAAAATTTACACCCATTCACTGATCCACAGATTAAGTCACTAGTGTAGAAGTATTAGATTCTATACTAAAAGTCTCTCTTAATGTCCAATTAATGACTGTGTGGGTCAATTAAAATGTAATAATAATGTCGTTATTTCCTACAGTATAACGAATGATTTTTTTGGGAGATTTTGTTACCTAACACTTGTGTACTCGGTTACCAGGATACCATAAGTATGCAGGCGGTGAGTTGTGATTAAACTGCGGTAGCCGCTATCCAATACCGTCGATGACGTGCGCTCGCCGGGGGGACGTTAGTGACGCTCTGATAAACACCAGAGATGTGACTTATTGACTTATCGATACTTTTTATATCGATAAAAAACTTATATTCCTTTCAAAGTATAATTATATAAATTATTATTGATTACGATTACTTGATTAATTCTATACAATATCTTTTTAAGTAAAAACGTAATATTTTTCCTACTTATAACAATTTATAGCAGCCATAGTGTAGTATTAAAAATTTAAACCTCCACTTCTGGCTATTCACAGCTAAAAGCAACGAGAAATGTTTAAGAATATTTTATAAGATAGCGAGCGCGGTTAGTGCAGACAAAGCCAGCTTAAGCGATAATAAAGAGTAAGTAAAACAACAGCCAAGTTTCAGGTAGCCTACTTTAATATTTCACTCATTTCACTCTCTTCGGGTTTCATTCCATTATATTGCTAAGGCCTTTCGCTCCGATTGTTAAATTCAACGTAGCTACAATTATAATGAACGAAGGGATCTTTTTCTTTTATTTTTTGTGCGTTGTCTAAAGTTTTTGTAATAACCGTGGCCGTGGAGGATTTCGTTCTTGTTTTATCGTATTAAACCATCGTAAATATGTCTAGGTTCTAATTTACTTTGCATCTCTGTTTTTTTAAAGAGAATAAAAGAGATGGGACTGTTTCGTTACAGATGTTTCGAAAAAGAAATCTCGTGGGTACAGTAACTGTATAACAATAACTAGCTTTCGCCCGCGACTCCGTCCGCGTAGAGTTTAAATAAACAAAAGCGAGTAATCTTTCTGTTTTTCCAGACTAAATGTAAATCAAATTTCATCGAAATCCGTTCAGCCCTTTAGGCTACGAACTCTAACAAACATCCTTCCATCTAAACTTTCGCATTTATAATATTAGTATGATTTCAACAGTTTTAAAGCTGGATGTTTTCTAGGGTCAATGCCTTGTTCAAGTTGGTGTCCTTCAAAGATCCACAATGTCCTTGTCTCATACCACCAATTTATCCAGACCTCAGGCGGGCGGTATAAAGGGCAATTTTAAATCTTATCCCATTAAAATAAAAGCTATATTATTAAACCCTGTTGTTTTTATACAATGACTAATCGTGTTTGTAGTTTTATTTAACTTGTTATAAAGTGAAAGTAATTAATTTTGTCTGCTTGTCATTTTGAGTTTATTCTCTCAGTAATTTGTTAATTGCTTTAAATTTAACAAACTTAATCATGATAATGCAAACAGCAATTTTCTTAATAAATTCAACATTTTAATTTTAATACAGAACTCGCTTTTTTACAATATTTAATGATGCATTTAAAGTAAAGTTAATGAAAAAAAAATTTAGAGCAAGACTCATGGGAATTTATAGCCTAGTTCTAGACTATATTGTCGTAACCAGGTCAAGTGCTGTGCAAGGTTTTGGATTATTTCTTTTCTAACATTGATGTCAAATAAAATGACGATTTGTATTTTACTGAAGATGTTGATACATTGGGTTTCTGAAGTTCCCACTTTTTTTCATGACGTAACGATTCATTAGTGTTAAGTTGACCTATATTTCGATGGAGTAAAACTCAAGTTACATAGTTTGGAAACGCATTTTATGAATTTATCAAACCAAAAACACTAACGAATAGTTAAACGTAGCTGAGACGTTTTTAAATATCATTCTGCCGTTATGTACCGATTCGACCTATCGTACTTTAACATAAAATTAAAAATGTGAACAGAATATTAATAGGGTAATTTATTTAATCCAGAAGTTGTCTATCCTCGGCTTAAGCGTTCGTTAGATGTTAACGTCAAAATGGCAGCTGCGCTAATACCCAAAGCCTGGGGATTTACGGCAGTCGACTGAATTAACGGGGAGTATCCAGTCAGCAAACTTATAAAGAATAAATGATTTATTTTACGTAAGAATATTAAAATTTCAAGTGGAACTAAGTCACAAAGTGTTTGTTGTTTTCTGTGATAAATTAAATTACTTTAGTAACATATAGATAATAACTACCTTTGTACCTAAGTGAGTAACGCTTGTGATAGTTTTACAAACAATCCTATAGCCATCAACGCCAAACTGAATAATCGAACGGTCTCAAGGTCACTGCATGCTCATCGTAGTAATTTCATATCGATGTTTAAAGTAAATAAACTGTAGTAAGACAAAATTAACAAAACAAATCTCGAGAGAATTCGCGACACGAGTACTTCCTTGTACAAAATCTTTACCTGTGTTCCAATAATTTATGTAACTAGGCAAGATTATTTGTAAAATTTTTCGCATCCTATACAGTGAGAGGCACCAGCCACAGTATACGCAATGCAGAATCCCCACTCCACTGCAGATCGCATTGCGTATTAACGCTCCATACACGTGGTATTTTGCTCGTTGCCAAGGGCAAGTATGTGCGTTGTTTTTATACAACGGATGCTGTATTTGTAATAATTTATAGGTAGGAAGTTTTTGAATCGTAATAAAATGCAAATACGAATTAAATACGCTAATAGTTTGATAGTGAAAATAATTAGATGAACGTTCCAAGGATTAATAGGTTGATGTCTCCTTAAATAGTTTTAAATAAATATTTGTTTATTATAGTGTCCTTTAGTACTTACTATATTACTAAGCAATTTGTGTTAATGGACATTCGATTATGACAGTTAAAAAACACTCACTGTTCTATAAATAACCGCTTAGTTCTTTGCCCCTTAATCACTTGTCACAAAGTAAAACAAACGTTTGTTTCTAATTTTCCTTATTAGTTTAACATATCTATTCTAAAAAATTCTTTTGAGCTCTTAAACAGTATTAAGTTTTATTAGGTCACATTATCAAATTAATATTTATAGCATAAGTTTTTCTTTGTTGTCTGTACATAATTCAGTTTTAAAACTATCAGGTTTTATTTCTTTTGTCATAAAATATTTGAAATGTAATCACAGTCCATCGCGATAGCATAGTTTTATAACCGTAATATAAATATGAAAATGATTTCCAGTTCTCAAATTGATAACGATATAGTCGGATTACTTCAAATTGGCATACGTAAAAAACTCTGTTAATAAAAGTGCTATTAACTATAATAGCTATTATAATATTGTTATTTTTGTTTATATTTTATTGTCACTATTATTTACGTTTTAAAATGTTTGAATGCATTTATTCCTCTTGAACCAGATAAAATAATATTCTGAGAATAATTGTGTTTACGTAACCTTGTCGACTTTGGTCTGCTATCTATTGTTCAGATAACTTATAAACGTTTACTTAAAGCACAGTTAATGTAACTTTTTATAATCATTCTATTTCATAAATGCTCGCCCATTTTGTAAGAATTAATATTTATCTTGATTTCGTCTTAAAGTCCTTAACGACAATTTTGTGTTGAAAGAGTTCAAATTAAAGTGGTCCTTCTTGTTATCTTATAGATATTCTATAAGCGCCGGAGCCCGGAGACGTATCAGTTTGTAGATTAGGGTCACGTCTATATGTAACTAACTTCATTTGAACTTAGGTCGTGACGTCACAATGTTACAATTTCACGACGGCCGGTTTATTCCGAATTATAAATGTGTTTGTTTTCTGAGGGCGAGTTTTTTCTTTTCGCAGCGTAATTATGTTATTTAGTTGTGTTTGTTTAATTTAAGAATTTGAACAAACGAAACATGTTCTTAAAAGTATTCCTTTGTTAGTTAATCCGTGAAATATTGTTAATGGTTATCATAATTTGTGCTAATGTTTTTTTAAATATTGCTACTACCATAATGGGACTTAAATGAAGTTAATAGCGATATGTAGCCAAAACATTAATTGTTTTCGGTTCACTTGGCGATAAGTACGTAATTTAGTGTCGTATTGACCGAGGTTGCCTTAATAGATAATCTTTTATCTGCCTATTAAATAATGACTCGACTCCGCGGTCGGTGTCCACAGGCCGGCTCAGTTGAGCGTCGGACGCGCTTTCGAACATATCGTTATATGCTGTTAACATTGCACCTTCCAAATTGACATGCTGATTTAATCTGTGACAATTAGCAGACTGTTGTATACTCTGTGGTTGAAAGTGACGCTAACCGGCCAGTGTTATTAAAATTAATTGGTGTTTAAATAGTGGACAGTGTTCAGTGATTGAGTGAGTTTTGACGATATCTGAGGAATGCAGTGAAATCAGCTGCGGTGTTTTGGCAGGGGCGAGCCGCGCGTTGCCAATATGCCTCGCTTCAAGGTGTTTATTGTTATTGTTTACATTGGCTCTGCTGTTAGCTAATTTAAATGTTGACAAATATTAACAATCTTATAGCTTCTTAGTGCGGACATGCTAGTTACTAACGGCGTTGGATTTGTTTAGTCAGCTCTTAAATTAAAAAAAAATGTAAATGCAATAGAGATGTATTAAACATAACATCTTTTACGCCCTGGTTTTACTTGACATAGTTATTTCAAGTTTCATAGGAATTATGATAATGTTTATAACATCGTTGTATTATAGTTTCTGTACAGTTTAGTACGGAAACTGTTGGTGTATGACACGATGACACCCATTGTTTGGTTCTCTGAAATGACACCGGTGCGGTGTCGGTATTCAACGATCTAGGCATTGTGTAAATTGTAGGTTCAGTTCATAACTAAATAGTATTGTATATGTTACTAATATAAATGCGAAAGTTTAGATGGATGGATGTTTGTTAGAGTTTGTAGTCTAGACGGCTTAACGGATCTCGGTAAAATTTGGCATAATTGTAGAGAATAGTCTGGAAGAACATACAACATTGGCTACTCACCTTTGTTTTTTAATTCCACGTGGATAGAGTCGAAAGCTAGTATCATAATAATTTAAGTTATAAATTTGTAATTATTAGCTGTCATCCACGTCTCCGTTAGAGTAAAACAGAAAAAAAATAGCCTATGTGTTATTCCAGACTATGTTCTACATCTATGCCAAATTTCTTCGAGATCTGTCCAGCAGTTTAGGCTATAATCTTTAAAAAACATCCATCCATCCATCTAGACTTTCGCATTTATAATAATAGTAAGAAAACTTAACATAGTACTAGTAATATCTCATACAGTAGTATAAATAATTTAATGGCCGCTTATCTCGAGCACGTGTTCATTTAGTTGTTATTTGTACCTCAACAAAGTATACACTGAAAACATATTAAACGCACGTACGTGATACAATTACATCTGTTAGCACGTAATGGTAATTAATTTATAAGTTAATAAAGAATTATTACATTCATTAATTTAATACTTAAGCGAACACTAAAGCTTAACATTAAATTTTAGGTATTTTATGAGACACTATTTATACAATAAGTAAGAGAAGTTTACTTTCTAAATTATAAAATAGATTATAGAAATATCCTTCCTTTCTGTTTCTGAGGGGTTTAACGTACCCCAAGTGACAGATAAGGTTAAAGTATTCTATCTTCCCCATTTCCTATAAAAATTCGTTCTCCACAAGTCATTAGCATGACCCGTGACCGGTTCCTGATAGCGGACTGTCGGTTCGTTACCCGCGACAACTGTTATGCTATAAATAATCGTTTATCACAGTTAACTAATTTGTACAACTATTGCGTTTAAGAGCATACGTTGGGTAATGTGCTTTTTTATACTATAAGGTAGTAAGCACCTGCATTCGCCAAAAAAGCGTAGCGATCGCTGCCCATGGACATCTGCAATTGCAGATGCGTTGTCTACCTTTGATCAACGGATAACGAGACGTACATAAAGACGATATTTCCTTTTCCTATGTATCACCTCCACTGTCAAATTCACTTTCCCTTCCCATCTTTTCTAACCACTGAAGATTATCTATACTAATATTATAAACAGGAAAGATTTGTATTTTTGTATTTTGTATGTATTCGATTCATGTAAAAACTACTAGGCCGATTTTTATAATTCTTTCACCATTTGATAGGTATTTTTTCTGTGTGTAACATAGGCTACAATTTTTATTATTTTTTAATTTCAAGTTGGAAGTAACAGCTGGTCTTAAATAATTTGCTTAGCAAGCGCCACTTACAATGGGATAGGCGACAAATTTTAATGGAATATGGAGTTGTTTTACCATTTAAGATTTTAGTTCTAAATCACGTCGATGTTTTGATTGTTAAATTGTCTTTTTCATAATATTTTATGTGAAATTTTTGTTGTTTCCAGTTGCCATGTGGTCTAATAAGTCAGAAGTTGAATAATGTATTGTTAGTGGTTAACCGCGGTCACAAAGTCTTGTCTTATAATCCATTAAGTAAATGGAATCTGAACTGAGCTGCTGGCATTCCGCCAGACTAGTTCTGAACTTATAGCTTCACACGCGGGTAGTAAGGTTAGAACTTTAGGACACAGTATTATCGTCGGAACACACATCCCGAGACTGAACAGGTGCTCTGCACTGTTTACTGCTCTGCTTTACTTTTCTGCCCACGTGTGAACCTATCATTACATTAGAATATAAACTACATGTGTGTGAAATGTGCCTCGTTTCGTGTAAACTGGCAAAAGCCTTTGAATAATAAATGAAAATGTGTTAATGTAACCTTATATGAATAGAGTTTACGTGAAAGCTTTCGGTTTTTTACGTGCCTGAATGAGAATTTTTCCGAACTAAATGCAAACGAGCTTTCGAACTAAGTCTATTTGTTTTTTTTTAAATTTCAGCGTAATCATAACACACAGACGTGTTAGGTAAAAGGCTTATCTAAATATAGCTCGCATGTGACAGCAATAAGGAAATGTGATCGATTCATCGAGCAAATTATTCAGTTGAAGCGTTAAGACAATTGAATGACGGGTGACATCCGGCGAGGACTTAATTGAATGATGACCGGTGAACGTGCTAGCGCCGGCGTTTGTTCAAAGAGGGTTTGAATGACTTCGTATATCGAATAAAAAATCGATGAATTATTTTTTAAGTTGCTGGAGTTTTGTTATCTGACATAATATAAGGAATTTCATTCTTGCAATAATTACAAGTCGATAAACTATATTGATACATATATATCTTTTATGATTAATAATATTGAGTAAAATCATACTTAATATGAAGAAATTGTATGCAAGAGAATAAACAAAGAAGTTTTATTTCCATTCTGCAATTTTCAGAAAAGTGAAGTAGTACTCAAGTGCTGTTTCATATTTATAATGAAACTAGCTGTTGCTCTCGACATATCCTATATATACTGATAACGTAGCTTTTTAACGGTGAAAGAATTTTTGAAATCGGTCCAGTAGTTTTTGAGTAATTCAAAAACATACAAAAATACATATCTTTCCTCTTTATAATATTATTATAGTCTCGTTATGTTTCTAGAAATTAAGAATAAAATATGCAGTAGTCACTGAATAGTTCATTTGATATTGTTTTGGCGCAGAAAGTGATTAAATGACACAAGGGTTCTTCTGTAGTATTCTTTTAGATGCCAGTAACTGGCACACTTGATGAGTAAATATTAACTGTCATGCCAGTACCATCCATGCAAGAAAAACAAAATTTTATTTAGTGAGTCGGGCATGCAAGTTAAAGGACCAAGTGGTACGAAGCTTGACATAAGTCTCGTCTCGTACGATCTTTTTACTGGAATGTGTATTTCCACTTTATTAAAGCGCGTGCACACTTGGAGTAAACTATCGCACAACTGTTTCGTCCTTTGATTCTTATGAGCTTATATGGAGGTGCGCACACTAAACGTTGAATGGGCTTCAAAACAATTAACAATCGCACAACAGCTGTGTAATAGTTTATGAGAAACTAAATCTAAAACATCAGCATTAGAAAATATTCTCATTTACAAAATTCGTTGATGGTCGGTTATTTTTTGGGCATACTTTACGTGACGTGAATAAGTGTCCACTGCGAGGGACCAATCGTTTTGGAGAATTCCAACAGAGGCACAAAGGTAGTGGGAGTGATTAATCATTCACAGCTTTCTGAAAACTCAGCCGAGCGAACCTCCATTATGTTTGCCTTTCGAATGCCTACTGCGTGAAAAATTGTATGTAATTATATTTCCAGTGTAATAAATCTTGTGAAAAATTGTTAACACAAAAATGTTAACGGCACATTAAATAACCATCAACTCATCTTACTAATAAAAAAATCTTACCCTATACTAACAGATGGCGTATCAAACTTGGAATATTCCAGAATATTTGATGTTTAAAAATAACCTTCGTAAACAACCTCTACGGTGTTTACGACGTACTTTTTGTCCTGTCTGGTTTTTTATAAAACTTAATCCTGTTTATAACTCCGTTGTCATTTAAATATTTTTTGCGTCGATTCAATACAAAAACTGGAATACATTTATTTTCTTCCTTAAGGAAAAATGGGGAACTAAATTAATGAACCTTGAGATAGAACCAATAAAAGAACTTGTAAATTACAAAAAAAATCGTCGAATTTCTTTTTTTTTTGTATTTCAGTTTGGAAATTTTCTCAAGATTCTCGTCGTCGGCGTGGTTATGTTGCCAAACATTGGAATTATTTATATAGGCTGACGTAAAGGGGCATCGCAGTCTGGCGTCCAGCCAGTCCACACCCAGACACACATTAATTTCCCCGTCCATATGAATCTCACATGTTTGGTAGTTTTTCCCGATTCTCTAGATATTTGGCATTGGTGCACACATCTCGAGTTAATTTAGACACTGTCGTAAACGTTCGCAAATAGCTGAATTCTTAAATATTTGGTATTCGTATTGCAGACTCGTGTCAGATATTGTGACCCATAAAAGATGAAAAACCGCCTAGTAAATTAAAATACATTTTTTTTTACATAATTACAATTCTTAATAACCATTAAGTCCTTAGATTTTGCGACAAGAAATATTTGAAGGTAGATAGTAGATTGAGCGCTACAAGGCAACAAGAAACCTCTTATCAATATCGTCAGCTAAATATAGTTATATTTAACAGGAATCACAGTTTATCAGAAAGATTTATATCTCGTTGATGATATCGAATTCTCGCCTCTACGGCTGAATATTGAACCGAATCCCTAACATTGCCACTGCCGCTTACGTAAAAATGTTAATGCAATATGTCGTTTCAGTATCCGGCCGTTGTCTTATTGATTTTATTACATCTGATAAGAATATAATGTAGAAAATAAAAGGTTTCGAAATTAAGATAAAACCCTAGACATATAGACATTGGATTGTGTATTTTTGTACTGTTAATACACGTTTTAAGAGTAGATATTTGTGTAACTAGGAAGTATGACAAACATTTAATTAACATAGATTAGAGGGCATCGCGATATTTATTATCTATCTATGATTTCGATTAATTTATCGCTTTGCTGAATCTATCTTATAAGTTATTTTATTTTAATACTAGAAATATGTTCGCAATGGTGTCCCTTACTTACAAACCGTTTAATAATAATAAAAGATTAGACGTTTTGTGTACGCACGTTGTTTCCTCGCGGAAATGTTTGTCAGATTTCTGTCACGGCTTCTCGGAAAGTCGGCCTCGGTCGCGAGGTTGCATATAACCGTGTAGACAGATTTTGTTTTTATAAACATTGTAGTACTAGATTTCGACGTGGAGTTAAAAAAAAAGTGAGTAGCCAGATGTTCTGTCATTCTATCCTTTACATCTATATCAAATTTCATCGAAATCGTCAGCCGTTTAGACTACAAACTTTCGCATTTATAATATTAGTATGATTATGATAACATAATGATGATCAATTTTACTATTAAAAAAAAGTCAAACTGAAGCAATTGAGATTCATGTTCCCAGCTTCAGTTGTGTTTATAAGCACAGGCCTTCGTTATCTGTCGTGTATCCACTTCATCCTCGGTTCGTATTAAATGATTTCCCTCGGGATGCCGGTGGGAATGGCTGCTTTTTATTTCACGCCCCTAAGGAACTGCACAAGCTCTATTAACGTTGTATATTTATATTCAGATGTACATTTACTGAAATTACACATAAATTCTTTAGAGAACAGCTAGGTACGTTGTTATAGTTTTTCGACGAATTTTGTATTTACTAGAATTGATGCTGAATTGATTAAAAAAGGTTCAGCACAGCTATAAGGCAACTTTTCTTAAATCAATGCTGTTTTTAAGATTCCATTCTAAGAGTCATTCTTTTCGATGAATAGTTAACCCTTTCTGTGATGCTCTTGCGTAACAATGAAAGGGATAATTTAAAACATAAACCATTAAAGTCAAAACATGATCGGTTATTGTCATTTATGACGCAGTAGCAGAGATTGTCATTCTTCTATTGATAGTACGGTCAAACTTCCCGGCTCATTGTCATCTGGTATTCTGCGACGTTTTAACACTTTGTACATCCTCTTGGTAATAACATCCATCCTCTGCTTATAATGTGGTCATATAAATTGTTTCCTGTTACGTCTATTTTGAGAACTTTTGCATTTTAACTGTATTAGTTCTGTTCTGTATTAGTTCTAGGGTATGCTAAATGTATTTGTAGAATCGATAACTTGCAAAAATTGTCTAGGTCAAAGGGCTATGAAACATAAATAACATTGTTACTCAAATAAATCAAAACACCAAAAATAAATAACAAGATTTTTTTTTCTGTAAAATGTAGTAATTATTGAATTACTATATTTTACAGAAAAAAATCAGTTCAAAAGAGCTATTGACTCTCTTCGTAACGAAGCGTTTGACATTGAATATTCAGTTACGAATAAAAATCTAATTAGAGAACCATCTTTAAGTTTTTTTTAATTAACAAGTGTTTATTTGTGTGTTTCAGCATGAGGTCGCGGCGGCGCTGTGGTGTCCGCATGGAAGGCAGGCGGATAGGTGAGACCGCGCTGCACAAGCAGGCGCAGCACCGCCGCGGCCGGCGCGCCCCGCCGGCATGGATCGCGCGCGCCGCCCGTCGCCGCCGGAGCCCGCGCAGCATCGGCCGCTCCAAGGAGGATCCGGCCAAACCCAGGCAGAGGCCCCGCCACCGGAGGCCTTAAGCGAACCAGAGACTTTGCGGCTCGCCCCGCGCGCGCTCCCCTCCATACCGGAGAGCGAACCTTTGCTTACGTGCGTCAATGTCGTCAGTGAGAATGTGCCGCGCAAACCCGTAGGTCGGTTACATGTGCAGTTCGACGCGCAGTCGCCGCTCGCCGCCGGCTCCGTTTCCGGCTCCAGCTCTACCTCGAGCTCCGATGATGAGGAGCTGTCGATCGCCGAGGCGCGGCCCCCGGACGGCGGCTGGGGCTGGGTCGTCGTCTTCGCGTCCTTCATGGTCAACCTCATCGCCGACGGAATCACGTTCAGTTTTGGAGTCTTCTACCCGCATTTCTTGGAGTACTTCGGCGAGGGTAAAGGCAAGACGGCCTTGATCGCAGGAATATTTATGGCGATGCCCCTTCTGTCGGGCCCGATAGCTAGCTTTTTGACAGACAGATACGGATGTCGTCGAATGACGATTTTTGGAGCCATTTTGGCATCTATTGGATTTGTTATATCGGCATTCGTCGATAACGTGGAAACGCTGTTCCTCACTTTCGGTATTATGGCCGGCTTCGGACTGAGTTTGTGCTACGTGGCGGCCGTCGTCATCGTGGCCTATTATTTTGAGAAAAAGCGCTCTTTAGCTACCGGTATATCGGTGTGCGGCAGCGGGATTGGAACGTTTATATTTGCGCCCTTGACGCACATCTTACTAGAAGAGTACGGATGGCGCGGCACGACGTTGATTTTGGCCGGATTCTTCTTAAACATGGCCGTCTGCGGTCTACTGTTCCGCGATTTGCCGTGGACCGCGACGATGAACGAGGAAAGAGCGAAGGAGAGAAAGAGAAAGAGGGAACGAAAACGAAACAAACGCCTGGCGGCTTCAGCTGACAGTTTTTCGGACAGCAAGAGTAGTGCGGGGGGCTCGACGAAAGTAGCCGAGTCCGGAGATATAGAGACGGTGTCGTCTCCCATTGTCCCTCAATTTAGTTCTTTAGTTGATCTACCGACGTTCATGACGGGCGGGGAGGGCGTGTCCCTCGAAGTATTCGAAATGATGTCTAATAAAGGCCGCGCGTACGCGATAATGGCGCAGAACTACCCGGGGATGATGCTACCTTCGAGGAGCTTCAGCGACAGCGGCCGATTGCACGAGCAATCACCGCCACGAGCTCTAATGTCACCGGGCGCCGCGTCGCCGGGCGCCCTCTCCCCGTTGGCAGCACCACCTCCTCCGGAGAACACCAGCAATTCTGTGCCTCTTGGGGACAAGGCGGCCGTGGCGCTCTGGCTGCGACGACAAGCAGGTGGCAGTACCAAAAAACCTCCAGCGTTTTTAAAAGACTTGAGAATACACCGGCATTCCTTAACATACAGGGGTGCTATGCTGAACATAAATCGATACCGGCTGCGAGCATCGTCGTGTCCTAACATCTTCAGGAATTCCATGACTACTATTGCCAAAGAAAAAGTAAGTGATGTTGATTTTTTTTGCTGTAATTTCGTTCTTCTAACTGTTAAATTTCTTTCATTAAAGAAAGTTAGAAGCCTTGTGCCACGTTATGTTTGATCAGCTTTCTTAATATCTCTGACATAGTCGTTTAAGATTGGTTGCGAAGTCAATTGAAGACATTGTTATCAATCTTTAGAGGGTCAAGAGGTGAGCTATATTGGCTTAAGTGATTGCTAATCAACCTATTCAGATGCACTGTATCGAATCCTTGCGGTCTATCAATAGGTACAGTTCTGTAGATAATAGTGAAGTAAATCTATTTCTTCTCTTTGTATTAATCTAGTAAAGTAGTTACATTCTATACTCTGTTGAATAAAAGACAAAGGCGAATTATAACGGCTTTTGTTTGGAGATAGTGTTTTGTGTCTCGTAGCCATTGTATGGAAATCATTAGTACTGTATTGTAGACTTGGTGTACAATGCGATATTCACAGCTGATTGATGTTAACGATGGTACTAAAAGAATAATAGTGCACTGGTTTTTATCGATGTTGTGTCTATTCATAATTAATTTATCGTAGTGCGAAAATATCGATATACAAGAGACATGTATTTCGCCTCCTAATTTTAATGGAATAGCATTCCATTATGGTTAAACAATTTGTAAAACTCTCTTCTATCAATTTCCAGGTGCAATGGTACGCTGGTCTGTGGGACTTTTGGGACCTGGCGGTGGACGTGCTGGACTTCTCGCACTTCAAGAACCCCGCGTTTCTGGTGTTCACGCTGTCCAACTTCCTGCTGTACATGTGGTATGATGTGCCCTACGTGTACATCGCCGACAGCGGCATCAGCCTCGGCTTCAACGAGTCACAAGCCTCTATGCTCATCTCTATAATAGGAATACTTAATATGTTCGGCGAGGTCAGTATAATAGTTATATCCAATAATGTGTAGTATTCAAATATCTTAATGGTACCTCTCACTAGAAGCTATAAAAACACAATTTTAGTTGTAAGGGATATGGGAGGAAGGCATTGTGCCAATGACCTTGGGCCGATTGCTTGACGGTACATTTTTGGTCCAAAAAGATACGACATTGTAACTTCTCATTTCATTTTTATGATATTCAGATACTTATAATTAGGATAAAGTTAACACTTTGTTGATAATATTTACTATAGACTAAACTCACTGTTACCAAACAAGTTTCAATAGATATAATTTTTATTTGGCCTCGTAAGTGTTCGCTCTAATCGAGGATGTTATGCAATGTTTTATATTTGAAGATATGAGGCACATTTACCTTTGACCTCACATCCATAGATCATTGTTCCATAAAAATTATTTCTTACATCTTCACGTTATCTCATTGTTTTATCAAAAACTTCCTACTATGAATATCATAATATAAGTTAGTTACTTATATCTGTAAAGGACGTGAACTTTTTATCACAAAATTAATTATAGTTTCTAGAAATTTCTGTAAAATATCGAATGAGTTACGATATTTATGTGGCTTGTTAAAGAAACTTTTTTTAGAAGAATCTGATAGACTATTGAAGTTTTAATATGAAATATGTTTATTTAATGTTTAATTAATAGACATAGCTAATAATGCAATGTTTTTACATGTGCCTATAAATGGCAACAAGATCCTATGATACTTGACATAACGGTTCAATATTTCGTACCACCTTCGAACCCTCTCTCAACTTAAATACTCTGTCACAAAATTAAATTTTAAGCTAGCTATTTGTATGCCAGGTACTGGTATTCACATGTGTGAATAACTGTAACTGGCATACAATTGTGCCAGCAACTTGCTGTATTCCCGGCTTTAGCACTTCATGCCACTATATAAAGTCTTGCTATTTTGTAATAATATAAGGTGACAAACGAGCACCCGAAATAACGACGACTGCTGCCCATGCGTTGCCTACCCTAAATCGACGGAAGACACGCACACAAATGGATATTTCCCGTTCCTATGCGTCTCCACCGTCAAATCCATCTTTCCCATCTTTTCCTCTTAAGAAAAGGGTGGTAGAATTAAACCTCTTTAATATCTTCCTAGAAATGAAATGACATATCTATTATAAAATCAAATATCTATACTAAGCATATATATGTCGCAATCAGAAGAAGAAATCAATTTGAATTTAAGCCATAATTGGAACACGAGCGCCGCTAAGTGACTTTCGAGAAAACTTAGATTATTCTGAAAATAGGGATCGTTGCGAGAACATTGTTCGAACGATATGAGATTTTTAGAATCCGACTTTACCCATGGCCGCCCACATGTGATCTCGGGTAGTAGTAATTCTGATATCGTGCTAGCTCAAGCCGACATATATATATTCCATTAGTGTAAGTTAGTTGGGGTTGACTGCAGATCCTGCTGGGCTGGGTGGGCGACTGGGAGTGCGTGAACGCGAGCGCGGTGTACGCGTGCTGCATGGTGGCGTGCGGCGCGGTGACGGGCGTGATGCCGCTGCTGCGCGGCTACGTGCCGCTGGCCGCCGCCGCGGGCGCCTTCGGGGCCTCCATCGCCGCCAACTACTCCCTCACCTCCATCATACTGGTCGAGCAGATCACCCTGGAGAAGTTCACCAACGCGTACGGCCTGCTGCTGCTCATACAGGGCGTTGCTAACCTCGCCGGACCACCGCTCGCCGGTGAGTGTTCAATCATTAGCCGACGACTCCAGCTGCAACAATTTAAACAACATTGTAACTTATGTTAGGTCTGTCATACCGAAACCGAATATGTTCCACATCTATACTAAATGTCATCGAGATCTGTTGATCTCTTCTGTAGATAGTAGTAATAAACATCTAGACTTTCTCATTTATATGTTTATACTAGCTTTAGCCCGTGACTTTGTCCGAGTGGAATTAAAAATTCGGAGAAGAAATTAGGAGATTTGTTCCGCCGTTTAGGCTATAAACTGTAATATTTTATATTTTGCATTTATAATATGTTTTCGCATGTATAATAACAGCTATGGTTGGATACTATGTTACTAACTGATAACGTAGATTTTTAATGGTAAGAGAATTTTTAAAATCAGCCCAGTACTTTTTGAGTTATTTCAATATATATACATACCCAAAAAAACAAATGTTTTCCTCTTAATATATTAGTATAGATATAGATATATCAATATTTGTATGTGATATATTCCAGGGTGGATCTACGATATGACGAACTCGTACGACCTGTCGTTCTACTTGGCGGGCGTGTTCATAGCGCTGTCGGGCGTCGTGTTCACCGTCCTGCCGGCCTGCCGCCGCCTGCGCAGCCCCCGCGCCGCCGCCACCACCCCCACCGCCCCCAGCCACGAACACAACCTCGCCAACGGACAGATTAAAACCAACGGTAAGCTTCTCGTATAACGACAATACTATCAGGGAATCTGTCAGTGATACACAAACAGTAGAACCTCGATAACTTAAAAACCTCTATAAATTCAAAAAATAATATGTTCCCTTCCCATCAAAGCTCAAAACCTCTATAACTTAAAATACAAAGGGGTTCCTTTAACTTAAAGAAGGAATCTCTGTATTGGCCCTCAGTAACTTAAATAAATTGTCAATGAGTCATTTTGAACGATTGCAGAACAAAAGGTTTCGGTATTTATTGCTTGCACAATAGAGCAATGTCACAACATAAATGATAATGTATTCTCTCTGTTTGTTATTGAAAATCAAATAGATTTAGAAACTGTGAATTGTTTAAGACAAAATATAATCACAAACTTTTTTAAATAGACTAAACCTGTAATATGATTATGTGAATTTTGAAATTTAGTAGGTATAATATAATAATATTTAGTAGGAATATTCTGGTAGGTAGGTATGATAGATACTGACATCTACCAATCCTACCTACCACTATATCAATCTCTAACTTAGACCCTCGATAACTTAAAATATCTTGTGTTTCCCTTCGACTTTAATTATCGAGGTTCTACTGTAGTTACAGTTTGAAAGTTTTGTACACGAGACAACGGAACAATAACTAAAAGAACAGTTTTAAATGTATCTATATGAAAAATGTTGAATAGTACATATCTTTTTGATATTATTCCACTGCTAATTGGTTATTTGTAAAAGGTGGAGTTTGTCTCGTTGCAAGAAATAAAGCCTTATGTAAATGAAACACTGCGAGTTTCCACAACTGTACAAAGGATAATATTAACATTGTATCGCTCTTAAATATCTTGAATAACCAAATAATGTATAGAGGTTTTTAATGGCTCGGAATATCTCAGTAAAATGCTATGTAGAGCCGACAATATATTTGAAATGTACTATACGAATCTAAACTACAGATATGCTAGTTGGTACTTTACTTTACTTACTGCACTAAGAGACCGACTCTGAGTGCGTTAGTAAAAGTGTACTTGAGTAACCTAAAGGGAAATTGCCCTAACAAATATTAGAACATGCTATCTCTGTTCTTTATATAAAGTTTGATAGAGAAGGAATAAGCCTATACTTGGCAAAGTTAACTTGAATACTTGAATTTAATAGAAATGAGAAATTAAATACGTCTGGCAATGTCTCTTAGGGCCTAATTCTGACATAACACAATAACACTGTAAACTCCAAATTCCATTAAAGTTTTGACACTTGTCAGATATGACGGTCGTACGTCTCTGACTAAACTATCGCACAACTGTTATGGGATTGTAGATTGTTTTGTAGCCAATTCGACTATTTAGTTGCAAAACTAAAAACCGAGTAGTGTACTTCCATATAAGCGAGACTAAACAGTTGTGCGATAGTTTAGTCAAGTGTGCGATCTGTGTTTCAAATTCGTTCCAGTATTCGGCTGTTATTGCCTGTCTTTGAATTTGATGATATAAACATCTTTTTTTCAAATAAACATCCTTAAAAGTAAAATTGTTTTGACAATTTGTTATAATTTCTCATTTCAATTGAATACAAGTTAAATTAATGTACAAAAAATTGATATTTCCTACGAAACTATTTGGTAATTGTAGAAAAATGTAGTAATGATTGTAGACTGAAGAATTTGGTATAGAATCGAGTGTTTTTTAACAAATATATTAAATTTGAGATAATATTAATGTGAACTTTTTTCAAAAACATTAGTGAGATGTTAACGAATAGATTTCTTTTTTAAAATACTAATCTCGAGTGAAATATAGCTTCCATTAACAGTATATAAGAATAAATTATCTTCGATAATAATAATATCCTATTTAAGTTACATACTGTAAGAATACAGATAATTATTTTATAAATATTTTTTTTCTGTGTCATAAAATATATGTGTTCTTTTGACCTGTTTGAGATGTCATTGTATGCGGTGTGTCATTCAAATGGTGGCATTTTTAACTACTCTTGATGAATTGGAAATTTAAAATAATTAATGTTAGAAATACAATATGTAATAAGTAAAAATCAATAAAAATAAACGAATATTCATTGTCAAATTACGATTATTTGATATTTTTATAAAAAGGTTTGTGTGTGGTTGAATTTTTTTGGTACATATGAATATTTAGACCTTTCTTTTGTCATGTATTTTTATATTATGAAAGGTGAATTAGGAAAATTTGTAAATTGAATAAAAATTACTATTTAAATTCATTTTTTTAAAACTTTTTTTTTTTAAATAAGCAAATATGTTGATATCTTGTAATATTTCGTACCAAAATGTTATAGCTTTTTGAAACAATAACTTTAATATTTAGAATTATTTTTAAGGTTAATTTAAAATGTAATATTTGCGATTTTTGCTATTAATTTACTTGTAAAATTATGTTTAGTTATTTAAGTAGTGAATTTTATTTTATAAATTATAATTTACGGCTTTAATATTTAGTTTGTAGTCAGTAGAGTAGTACGGCAGCTGCTTTTTGTATGTTTCTTATTGCGGTGTCGAATTTACTTTGAAATAATAACAACTTTACAAAGGGAATTGATTAATATAAGTAATTAAATGTCGTGAACAGAAATCATGTGTTTTTAAAGAAAAGCAATATTAATATTTTTCTATAGAGACCAGATGTTTAAAATAGTTTTTTTGTGATAGAACGTAGATAGTAAGTTAGAGTAAACGTATTTTAGACGCTAGAGTTATTTTCTTGCCAAAAAAAATTAATCCTTCACTAACTTGTATTTTGCACATTTGTAAAACAAAAAAAAAATCATTCAAATCAAGTTTTTCAAAAATTTTCCTATCGTTTTCTTAAGATACTTCCAATTTCAAGTAATTCTTGACGCAGTATATTTAAAAATGGTGATTACGAATAATTTTTTAATAATAATAGATATATTTTTTCTATTTTGTATGTGTTCTACACTTTTCAAAGAAGTTCATACATTTTTGTCACCACTTATTTGTTTTCAAGCCTTAATTGTATGGTATCATACATTTTTTACAAAAAATCAGTGCAAAAGGTAAAGTCGCGAGAGCTTTTTTTATAATCATCTGATTTAACGAAACGGGTACATAAACGTATTATAGATGAGTTGCATGACTTTGTGTGTGTGTCCCTAGTAAAGATATTTTTTTTGATTTTATTTATTTTTTGTTTTATTACTACCGCACCTTTTTATCCAACATCCACTTCCCATTCCCTTTTACCTAAAGTTAAATAGTTAGCAATAGTCATAATGTAGTTTTGTATACGCCTCTTGCCGCGAAAGCGAACCGATACTGAAGCGATTCCATTTTGTATGAACCTTGTATGGGTTTGGATTATCACGGTAATATTTAGTTTTTCATTCAAACAAATTTATAATCAAGCAATCTACGTTCAATCATCGCTCAGTTTTCATGTTTTTTTCGGATTTCGCTTCAGTCCGGTCCGTTTTCGCGTTTGTATGAGACGTCAATACTCAGTGCCTAGATCCACGATAAACAACAAAAATAAAATTGTGATATAAAATAAGAATTCGATATTCTAAAATCTTTTTAAAAATAATCTAGATTTTAAAAATTTGCATTTATATTAAGGTTTACTAAACTCCAACTCTTAAAAACAAATTCAATAATTACATAGTTAATAAGATTTGTACTTTTAACTTGCAAGTTTTTTCTCAAGAATGAATGAATACCATCGATAATAAATTACTACGGATTTTCCCTACGTAATATTTTACTCTGGCAACATTATTTTCACATAAGTACACCTGTAAAATCTAAAACTAATGCTTTTCTATATTCATATTTATATCTACTATCCTTATTAATATTAACTTTTGAAAATGCAATAAATAATTTTAAAAAGACTAAATCACACCATTTTAATGTTAGATTAATAAAGAAAAACTAAGTCAAACATTATTAATAAATAGTTTCTTTATTAAAAAAATAGCAATCGCTAGTATATTTACAATTATTAGTAGTAATTGATAATCATATTGTTAATCACATTTCACATTTAATGTTTTCTAGTAATTTACACCGATGTTGCCATATTTAAATGCATATATTTATACCATTGTAGTTGTAAGCTTTTATAAAGAAAATACCTCAGTACTTACATATTATACGTAGTTATAAATCACATAATTTATTGTAGAGAGTGGTTCTATATACATACCTCAATATACTATGTACAGCACGTTGTTGCGCGGGGCCTGTTGCGGTTATTGTAAGAGTTTGTGAATTTTAGATTAGTTTTATCGAATAAAGAGACCATTTTAGCTTGAATAATTGTGTTTTATTATTACCCTTTAATCTAAAAAAAGTCCTTATCCTTCCTTTTATCAATAGATAATTAGAAAGGGGGAAAAGACAGGAATTAGAAAACCACACTCTACAGACGATACGTCAAATTGCTTTTTTTTTTTTTTAATTGCAAAAAACCAGCGCTTGACCACTATCCCACCTAGACCAAGGTGAAGATGTGGTCGAAGGATGGTACGCGCTAGTTTAGTAAGTACCGATTCACCCTGCTCTTAAAGGCACCCACGTTATAACTTGACGGGAACACTGACGCCACTTCACGTCTGTTCTATGGTCGTGATATTGCACCGAGCCCTACTGTGCGAACACTTACTAATTGTACTCATATTTAAGTACATATGAATATTATTGGGATGTGTTTATCCTTATTTGCATTAGAAAATATACTTTCGTTGTTTTACGACCCATTCAAATTTCATAATGAAATTGAGAGGCGCGGTAAGGCATAGCGCCCCAAGCCTCGAGCCGGTTTACATGCGGCCTGATACTGTGAGATAATCATTTAAGCTACAAACAAAATAAGGGATTTATTACTGAAATAATGATAAGATAATATTGCCAAATTGCCAAATGGATTTATAAATTACGAGCTGCTGCCCGCGACTTCGTCCGCGTGGTATTAGAAAACATACGAACTATATGAATTACAAAAAACTACGTATCCCTCGGGAAACGGACATATCTCGGGGATGAAGTTTATCCCATGTGTACTCCAGACTTTGTTTTATATCTGAGCCGAATTTCAATAAGATATGTTGAACCGTTGCAGAATGATCGAGTAAACATTAAAAAACTAAAGTAATGAATCCCACGGGAAACGTAGCTATTCCCGGGATAAACAGTAGGCTATGTGTTCTTCCCGACTATGCTCTAAACCTGTACCAAATTTCATGGAGATTCGTTCAGCCGTTTAAGCTACAAACGATAACAAACATCCATCCATCCATCCATCTATCCATCCATCCATCTAAACTTTCGCATTTATAATATTAGTAAGATTTACAAAATGAAGGATATAACGCTCTGATTTTAACGTTACTTTTGAGATAGAAAGGTAATTATAATTTTATTTGTTTATTGATTATTAGAAGTATTCAAAGCAAATAAATAAATGCTATTTTATTCGACGTAACATATATTTAGTCTAAATAATACTAAAAATAATAGACAACTAAATTCCATTTGTATCTATTTTTATTAAAAGTAGAATTCTGTTAAAAATAATCAAATCAAACAACGTTCATTATATTCTTATGTACTTAAACAACGTACGTTTGCAACATTTACATAAACTCGCTAAAAGTCGACGATACGAATAAAAAAATCCAAACGTTTTAACATTTAATATTAAAGATGAAATCTGACTCCCGCTCGATTCCATCGCGAAATGCCCGAAACGTACGTTATTTATTCATGTAAAAGTTGAATTACTGCAGCGCGAGTTATGCCTCCCTCGGGACAATACGCGCTTGTAGCGATCAGCTGTGCGAGATACAATATACAGAGATGACTTTTATCTCGAGCGGATTATAACATAGGAAGATGTTATTAACGTATCTACTTCTCGTATAAAATAATATTTAAAGCGTGATATTTTCAAAGTTACTGACTTTTTAACGTAACTAGCGTAATCAAAATATATAAAATATGATGGACATAAATGAACCATTATCTTTACTAATATTATAAAGAGGAAAGATTTGTATTTTCGTATGTATTGAAATAACTCGATAACTACTGCGCCGGTTACAAAATTCTTACACCATAAAAAGCTACCTTATCAGTGAGTAACATAGGCTATATTTTTTAATGGTTATTTAATTTCACGCAGGTGAAGTCCCGGGCAACAGCTAGTAGTAGTTTTACGAGAAATGTAAGATCTACCCGAAGGGTCTTTTAACAGATTGCTAAATTACAATTATGGTTCGCTGTTTACTAAGAAAGTTTAAGTTATTGCTCTTTTACACTTTTATTCAATTGCTGGCTGATTTACATTTGTAAAGTTGAATATTGAAAAACTTTTCATAAAATCAA